CTTCCTTCCTTCCTTCCTTCCTTCCTTCCTTCCTTCCTTCCTTCCTTCCTTCCTCCTCCCATCTCTCATCTCTCTATCAACCCAGAGTACTGGAAACAACTCTGGGTCATTAGCATGGACACTCCCAAAGAGTGCAATTTTAGCTATCCCAGCCTTAACTCTTTTATGTACACAACAGCAGCAGGTTTGGAAAGACTAACTTACTTGCGAGACCTGAATTCGGTTTTGACTGGAGCCTTCCATCAACTCTGCCAGATCGGGATTCGTGTTCTTCCCATCCGGATACAAGTAGCTACAGGATGAGATGGAGCACATCAGTACCTTCTGAACAGTCTTCTTCCATCCCCCAGGAAACATTAAGTTATATGGGGGTAAAAATATGCCCACCCACCAGTCTGCTTGCAAGAAGAGCCTGTTTTCCAGGCCATAACTGGAATGTCTGTTTTGAAGATGAGGAACGTGCTTCTTCAACTTGATGCTCCCCAAGTGTGTGGAACTACAATGCTTATAATGTGAAGGAATTTAGAGTTGACTTTGAGGATAAGGAAGGAAGAAGGGGGTGATTAAGAGAGAACTTGCAGAAAAAATGACACTGTCTTGAGAAACAGGGAATTATGAGAAAGAAACTTAAAATAACTCTGCCTTGGTTTTGTTTAGCTAAAGATGGGACAGAGAGAAAATTGGACAGGAGTTCCAGATTCTGTTGTTCTGGCCTACCTCAAAGCTCCCCCCCCCCCATTTTATTACATTATAAAATGCAAATAATACATTATAAGATATAGATGATTCGCTGGGTACAGTGGTCTTTATGCAATATAATCTAGAAATTGTTAACACTATGATGGTTTAAATACGTTAAATCTTTAAAGATAAGAAGAAAAACATTTATATTGATGTTAAACATAATTTTTAAAATGTTAAAAAACATCAGGTTGCTGGAATTGTACAATGAAAGCTAAGTATGGCATTGATAGACAATTGCAAAATGCATTACATTATTTTATAATATAAAAACGGTCTCTATCTTTGAACTTAACTTAATACTAAGGTCTCCACTGTATTGTTATTTGTTAGTATTTATAATTGTTTTAAAAAAGGAAAAACACAACAAAAAGGAAGAAAAAAAGGAGTTGTTTGGAAAAGGAGGTAAATCTTTTATTTCTAACTTTCCTCTTTTTTATACTCTGACTGATGTGCAGTATTTATAAACATTCAGACCCCCTTCGAAGCCACACTGTAAGCGTTTGTATTTGCTGAAGGAAATCTCGAAAGCCTCTCCAACTTCCTTTCTGTCCCTTCTTACACTAAACAAAATCAAGTCCTCTTGCTCAGGACTTTTAATAAGAAGATAAAAACTATCAAAACGAATACAGAGTAAAGAAAACCAAGAAAGAAAAAAAGAGAGAGAGAGAAAGACAAAGGTGCAGAAAGAAAAGAGAAAAAGAAATAGAAATAGAAAGCAGCAGATTTGGATTTTCTTGGCCGCAAATACAAGTATGATTACAAAGTTATCTTTTACTCGATGGCAGTGTTGCTCAACCTGGGCAACTTTAGGACATGTGGACTTCAACTCCCAGAATT